TAGGCTGCTTTGTGTCTCTTGGAATTTTAATTTGCAAAAATAAAGTAATTAATTCATTTTCCTAGCATTTAAATTATTGACCCGAATAGTACAAGTCAGGTTATCGATCAGAAATTCGGCATCAAGTCTTGCGTTACTCTGGCATGGTGCTAGATTTAAATCGAAGCCAGAATCATGACAGAGTCTTACCAGCTTGTTCCCAGAATTATATTCGATTAACCGACTTGTGCTATTCGAGTGAGTCTATGAAAGTATCCTAATTGAAAACCAACTTCTTTCATAGAATATTAAAGCTATAACAGCCTCTTTTGTACACACAGATCGAATTAAAACATCTTCACATCCTATAAATTTACGTATCTGTGCTGCACTTTTCCAAAACATCGCTAATTTATCCTATGGGTCCTCGATTTGAGTAGATTCGATTTGAATAGATTCGATTTGAGTGACAAAAATTAATGAATAGAAAATTTAAAAACTTTTTTCGCAACGGACATTTTTCATACAAAAAGTAAATAATTCGATTTGAGTAGATTCGATTTAAATAGGATTTTTCTGGTAATAAACACCTACTCAAATCGAGGACCCCCAGTAGATGCATCAAAAAAAATAGCAAAATAAGAGTGACGCATACAATTATGAAAAACACAAAGTTGGAATAAAGCTTTTAGCATTAATAATGCATAATTGCATGTGCTAAAACACGGAACTGTCAACATGTGACAGTGTACCTCTGGATAGAAATCAATCTGATTCACTGTGAATTAAAAGCTTCTTTCAAGCAATCATTTTTTTAATATATTTCAATTTTAAAGTTTCATTATTCTTTGCAGGTTTGACAGTTGTTAATCCTTCTTCAATAGAGTCAAGAGATGAGTTCTTTAAAATCTTCTTTGTACATCTTAAAAGAACAAGAAAGAATTCAAAAACTTAAAGAATCAAAAGTGTTAAAAACAGTCCAACCAAGCCACAAAATTGATATAAAATTTTGAATTTTCTATGTGTAATTTGTTATTTTGAGGATTTGCGAGCTACCAAAATTTATCTTAATTTCTGCATGTTTTGTATCATTGCTGAAAGTTTAAAATTTGTTTTAAATTACTATAAAAGTCATTGTAATATTACCCATAAATTCGAAACTCTGATGAGTGTTCAACCATTATATTGTAATTCATTTGAGTACAAGATGGCACACAATTGCATGGAAAGTCGAGAAATCGTTCCTTGTTGCCTTCTTATTTATAATAGAATTCTAGCCAATTGCTTGCAATTTGAAAGTGACAATCAGCATCTTTAATTTTGCACATTCTTATGCTATTTGATCAAATTTTGATACTCGTACGCATCCACATTTCACATATGTAGAATTCAAAATGTATACATGCTCACAATTAATTCTTGTATATGTCTTGAAGAATCTTAAACGTCTTTCATCTCCAAAGTAATATCCTCGTTTGCTTGAAGGAAAGATCTTTAAACTATTATCAATCCTCTTGGTATGTGTATTAATTCGTAAAATTTTGTCTTCTCAAAATCAGCATAAGTAAAGCTGTGCAATAATGATGGAACTTCATTTTGAAGGTGAATTACTATCCTTTATGCTTCAGGTCGATGTTCACAAGAATTCAAAATATCATATTTATCTACTTTACTTCTTAAGCTTAATATTCTCTACCCTGTTGCTCTGAAAGGGAAAATATAATCAGCATTATTGAGGTAACCTTCTTCTATTGTCCATTTTGATCGCTTAATATCGTCATCATCATCATCATCATAAAGTTCTGCATCATTATTCCATGTTTTTGGAATTTTCTTTCTCTTATTGCAATCAAAATCACTGCTTATATCCTCATTAAAGAGAGATTGGTACCCGACAATGTTAAATGTATAATAATATCCTGTATTTGTTAATGATCGAATAAACATTTTTTCACATCCACTAAATCCTTTCATTTTCCACTTTTCTAAAGCATCACTGATTTGTAGCAACACTTCATTTAATATTTCAGCAACTAGTGTCTTGTGCATAACTTGATTAAATACTTTTCGATTTGTTGGACAAACATGAGACAGAGCTTCCATGGTTTCCGAATTATTTGATTCTATAGATACATTTTAAGCTCCATCATATACAAACTTGAATATATTAAGGACACTTGTATTGACATTTACAGTTGAACAAATTGTAATAGCTGGAAATGAAATTGTTCGACTATTAATAAACTTTTCATTCACTAGAACTTCAGGAGATATTTTAAGTTTTATGGAGCACTCTTTGATGTAAAAACTCAAGCATAAAACAGATAAACTGATGAAGATGAAGATGATTCGCTACTTAATCCACAAAGCAGCCCTCATAAATATTAGACTGTTCATGTCATACTGAAAATTCACTTTTCGTGTCAAGTTCTCAATTTCTATGTTAATTGTTAAGCAGTCAGTCACTTATTATAGTACTTATTAAGAGTGGTCAGTCTATTTCAATCAATGGTACGATTACAACTAAAATTATCACAAATAAATTTTTCCAATGACAACTGCGATGATTTCTCCAAGATTTCTATTGCCATAAAAAAATATTGATGTGCAAAATTTTCAACAGATATTAAGTTCCATCACATCCAAGTTTTTCAAATAAAATAAGTATTATGGTCCTGTCTCACCACCCCTTTTATGCAGACGAGTAGGTTCATGTTCAATTCTATGATGTAAAGTGCTTTTAACTACTGAATGTCTACACTTTTTAAAAGGATAAAGAATAACATTAAGTTTTCACACATTTTTGTCACGTAATCGTGTCTAGTTACATAAATTATTTATAAGACAACATGAGTAATTTCACTTAATAGTAAAAATGCATCGTGAATTGAAACTGACTTAGCATTAAACAAAGCGCTTAAAATTTAAGCTTAAATCATTTTCATACTCATTTCTCATGAATTTATAAGCATATTGATACTAACGTACGTGCAGCTCTAAGTCTCACCATGAAAAGATAAATCCATGAAGAGATGAGAAGAAACAAATAATGAATAAGATAAATTTGTTATTTTCATTATTTGAATGTTCTAATCCGATCATTACGCATTAAGATCGCTCGCTTCTTTTCCATTTATCTTCAATTCTCTTCTTATTTCTTGAATATCATTGTTATAATTGTAATATGGATGAATATTGAGCATGGGTGGAATATTTTATATTAATAATGCCACTTAAATGATTCTGATTGCTTAATTTGAGATATAAATTAATAGAAGCAATCAATATTTGAATATGAAAAGATGAAGTTTTGATTTTTTGTGTTGCTTGTTGCCTTTTTTGTTTGTTTCTCTTTTCTTTAAATTCAAATAAGATTGACTTGTGTGGAATGAATGAGAATTGTTAAAGGAAGAAACATGAAATGAAATGGATGGATTGTTAGATTGTAGAGGTGTTAAGATGATAAGTATTTTATAGCACGGGGATATTCGTTTGTTTCTGATACTTTCGATTTATTTTAAAATTGGAATGTTTTTGAATTTCGTGGAAATTTACCGAAAGCGTGGTAAAATAGACTTTAAGAACTCCATTTGGTTAATAGACATTTATTTGAAGATGTATTTGTACCTAGATCTAATCAAGATCTCCCTATAACTGCTATATGTGTATACTAATGTAAAACAAGTCGAGTTCGATGGGAATCGAACCCACGACCTTAAAGATGCGATCTCAAATCACTCGATCAGAGATCCCTGCCACTCGGCTATCGAGGTACTTATCTCACTTCGGTTATCCGTCATACAAATATGCTCTTCGAGCCATATCCACAAGTTGACTTCTATTTCATATTTTGACGATAAACCCAGTTGAGTATTACTAAGGTTAGTATATTTACTATTCAAAAAACCAAATCATGAAGCAATTTACATTCAATTCAGCTCTACACACTTAATTCAATCATTCAGGATGACTCATAATCTTCCTAGCTACCCATTCCAAAAGAATAATTTCATATTCATATCAAAAAATTAATGATGCAGTCACACAAAACCAACACTTATTCAACATACCATTTAATTATAAAATGTAACATGATATTTAAAGATGGTACGGTTAAAAAAATTAGGAACGGACTTAATTTCTCGTCGTATTCATAAATTATACTCTCTACTGAATAAGAGACACGACAAAATCAAGATGAGTCATTTTGTTCTTTATGATTTTCATATTCAAATATGGTAATTGAATATAATTGGTATACAACTTCTTTTCATTTGTGACATACGTCGACTTAATTTGGTGATTGACTGAGAAGATCAAGATTTGCATAAATTTAAATCTTGACGATTGTGTCTTAACAGAAGGATGGCTCATTACACCCACAGAATGAAATTTCATTTAATTTTATTACTTTTTATGACAATTTGTGGACTTGCTTTGTGTGTTTTACGAGACAAATTGTCTGTAATGGTTTCTTAAATGAGCTCGTCTTCGATTTTTTATTAAAATTTATTTCACACATAAATGCTGGCAATTTGAAGATCAGATTTCTGATTATTTTTGCAATAAGTGACTGTTTACAAAATACTGGAATTTTTGGGTTGGATAGAAAGTTGTTCGTGAGTGACATTCAGTTTGCAGATCAAAAAGCTATTTCAATAGTCTTCTTAATGGCAGAATGCTAAGTGTCTTAGATTGAATGACTAGATTGCAATTTTATTTTCGCAAATCTGATGAAAGCACTTGATTAGCTTCAGCATGCCACTAATCTCAGCAAAGGTCCTCAATAATTGAATTATTAAATTTTAAAGAAGATATCAATTAAAATTGAGCAAGTTCTAAACCTTGAAGATGTTATCGATTATAGTCCAAGCATTCAAATTTACTGAAAAGCACATTGAGGTGATTAAATCTCTATAACCTAGAAATCACCAGCAAAGATGAGAGCTGAAAAAGTAACAAATAAATGAGACACAGCATAATTAATTTTTTTGAAATTTCTTTAATGCATTTCTCTTTAAATCTTCCTTTGTACTTAATTACAGTCAATTTTCATGTGTTTTTAGATAAAAATCATCATTTTCATAGTTGTTGGATAGGATATTTAATTATATTAATACGATAAAATTATTTTCTTAAACATTTTATTTACTTTATACAGTTTTTCTTAATACTAGGACCTTTTCATACTCATATAAACATTTAATTAGATAGACAATACATATCTAATTTTTTAAGCATTAATGATTTCTTAAAAAGTGTTTTTGAGATTTTTTGAAGGTGAATTTGTTCGATGTGGAAATGCTTTTGGTGTTGAATTAATGAATTTCAACTGTATTGACTGATCTATGGTAAATAATTCTCAGTCAGTAATGATTCAATCAATATTGAACACCAGCACAACATCGTACCAAAAATATCTTCACACCGAGCATCTTTTCCTTCATGAATATTCCTTTAAATAATAGTTAATCTATATATACTTAATTTACATATCTTCATCGCCCGACATACAATCATCCATATCGATTAATTCATCTTCATCTTCACAATTATCGGATCGACTACTATGATTACCACCACCGCCTGATTTTGAATCACCTTCTTCTTGCTGTGTGCGTTTAAATTTCGTGCGGCGATTTTGGAACCACACTTTGACCTGTGTTAATAAAGAAAATGAAAAAAAAGTATTAATTAAATGATTTTTTATAATATACCGGCTTGATATATAGCCAACAATCTATCTCATCAGATATCCACAAAAAATGTATATTCGAGATTTTTTTCATGAGAGAATTCTTTTTTTAATCACGAAGATTAATAAATAATGCCATCATGAACACACCATTCGAGAGAGCTTTTTTTTCTGTTGAACACTCAATCGTTATAAATCATTTTCATGTTAAAGTCTCAAACTGTGCCAAAAATGTGTAAAATTCTCTGTGTACATGTAGACATGTATATATATTATTATTTTTGGATGTTATAATAATGATAAAAATAATAAAAATGTGAGAAGGAAGAAGATGAACATTTATGTGAAATTATTAATTTCTTTATTTGCGAATGATGGTGATTGTGGATTATTATTTTGAGTTTGGTTGGAAGCTAGGTGCTTATTGATCTGATTTGATACATAAATTGAAATTTTTAAAGGTTTTAATGTCTTATTTGGGAAAAACTCTGATTTGGTGCTTTCAAAGATAAAGCATCACCTTGACAATCTATAAATCTTCAATATCCATCTCTAGCTCCTTCCAAATATCAATCAAAAAAGTCAATATGTTCATAAGCTACTTTAATTACAACACAATCTATAATGAATACTTGAGGGATATTAGGTAGCCTCTACACTCATTCTTCATCATCTTCTTTAACATTTTCATATATATGCTGTCTTTAATACAGTAGATGAAGAGAGAAGAAACAACTAATGAGTTAAAGAGAGCAAGAAATAAGCGAAGTATCTTAATTTAAAGCAATTTTTTTCACTAGTTTATTATGATTTATTGTGCTCACGCCACAGTATGTTTTCTTGCACTTGAGACAGCATGTACATGTACAATGTATCATGGATATTATTTGATATACATTTTCTCACATGAAATCGAATAAATTGTTGTATTTGTGGATGGAGATGAGAAGATTTTGTCAGAATTTTGAGGTTAGTTTAAAATAATTTTTAAAATTGATTAAACCTTGAATCTTTGAAATTCTGACAAAATCATCCCAAGCGGTCATTATCTGATGTCTTTAATATTCCATTTATTATAAATTTTCATCAATTAATTACCTGAGTTTCAGTTAAGCTTAATTGCTGTGCTAATGTTTTCCGCTCAGCTCCAACAACATATTGATTATTCTCAAATGCATGTTCCAATTTGAGTAGTTGTGTCGGTGAGAAAGCTGTGCGCACTCGTTTTGGCTTACGGAAAGGATGCAGGAGGAAGTCTGTAAAATAAGGAGAATCTAATAAGCCAAAAAGAAAAGTAAATTAAAATGCAATAATGTTTTGTGATGTGTGTGTGTGTGTGTGTGTGCATTTTGTTGCAGGATATGCGTCTGTTATTGAAAAAATATATGAAGCTTAATGATATAGCAAATTGATGATTAATTCGTATGCTGAATATCCCATTATTGTAAGTTAATTTTAATTTTATATCAATCAATTCGATGACTTGATGTTGGTTGCATTCGCGTGTATTTAGGTGGACCAAGGGTTGAGAACTTTTTAGTATGGAAAAATTTTCGTGACAATTTTAATTCATAAATTGAGTAAACAACAGTGATTGTTTTAACTAACGAGCATCAAAAAAGTTCCCAAAAGTTTTTATCCCCTCGCAATATTCACATTGCGTACATACACAATAATTTTTTTCCTCTTTAAAAAATGATAATTTAACGTCATGAGCAAAACTATTTATTTTTTAACATTTAATAAAGTTAATAATTTTATGTTGCTACAGGCGGTCTACATATAGCAATTAAAAACACATTAAAACAAATTGAGCACTGTTGAATCAACATTGTGGATATATTTTTTTTCCCGTCCAATACACACAAAATTGTGAATTATTTTTCAAGTGTGTGCATGAAATAAAATTTATTTTTCTTTCATTAAAAGAACATGCAGAATGCAAACATGAGATTAAAATATGGCTAAATTATATGTTAATGATGTATGTTATTTTATGATGTAGGTTTTTAAGGAAAATATTCTCATTTTTTTCGGGGAGCATCAACATCTGCAAGCAGAAAGCCATCAAACTTTTTTAATGGACTTGTACAATCAATTTTCATTAAAATATTGCAACAATTTAGGAGTCATTTACATTCTGTCGGTTAAAAACATTCCTCCAATGTATTTCTTTACTTAAAGAGAAGAATGGAAAGGTAAGCAAGACTGAGAAAAATTTAAATTTCAGGAAATTCTTTCGTCGCTAATGAAGATCGTAAGGAGAATAAAAGATGTTTTGCTTGCGGTTTGGGCTTGCTTGGGATAATAAATGAGGTGAGTTTAGTCAAATTAAGAGTAAATTTTTAGACAGTTTTGAGTATGTTTCTTGAATTGATAGCTTGTTATCGATTAGGCTTTAAATTTAAATGGTTTTTGAATCTTTGAAGTTTTTTTTTCGAAATTCAGAATTGGTTTTTCGAATCTTTAAAAGGGTTTTTGAACCACAAAAATGGTTCTTGAAATTCAAAAATATTTTTTAAAACTCAAAAATGGGTTTCAAACCTCAAAAATGATTTTCAAATTTAAAAATTTATTTAAAAGTGAAAAATTATCTGATTGTATTCACAATTACCACAAAACACCCACTAATTACTGACTAATCTAAGACCATCTCTAACATTATTTCAAGAATTACTTCTCTGCATCCAATCTCATCGCAACTAAAATCTCATTGTTCCTCGCTCAACAAACTTGTAATTATTGAGTCATCATAACGTGAATTAAATGTAATTTATATTGATGCATGCTCGATTATTGATGATCAAGCATTTATATTAAATATAATTATCGTTTAATATGTAATTTATTTGCAATAATTCAGTGAAGCTTGTGAGAAAGGCTGCTGCAGCATAAAATGACAATTTCATGTTTCTGATAAAATGTAATATTATAAATTTGATATTAATTGTCGATATTGAAATTATGTTGTGTAATTGCGCGATTGTGTAATTTTTCTATAAACTTAATGACTTTATTGCATATTATTATGTTATGAGAGAAATGTTCGAGCTAATGGGTTGTGACAAATTTTGTTTGTTGAGGTTAAGTTTAATAGTTTTGAATAATTTTAGTTTAAAACTTCAAAAATGCTTGAGTTTAATTTTCTTTTGTCAATTTTTGAAGGATTTTGATTTTTAAAAAATAATTATTTTTGAGCCAAAAATCAAGTATTTTTAAAGTTTTAATTTCTACTCAAAATGCAAAATTTAACACTTCATAAATCGTTGAAAATCAACAACTTTAACATACGATTTTCATCACTCAAAGACCGTATCATATAATTTAAATGCACATTTCCTTATTCATTCTGTCAAAATAATTTTATTACAGAAAATTTCAATGCCAAAATACTTTTTACATTTTTATTGAGAAGAAGCTTCGTCGAATTTTTAATGATTAATGTTCCATTAATAATTTTTAAATATGACTGACCATTAAATCATTTTCATGGAAAAATCTTTCGTTAAAAATTATTAAATTAATTTTTTTAACTAATGAATGAATAATTTCTTGATGCATTTTAAAATCATCTTGCATGGCATCGATCGTCAGAAAAGAAGGAAAATATCAACAGTCAGCCATAAGATTTTTAAAATGTATTTGCTAATTTATTATAATGAAAACATTAGTAATCGAAATTTTCAACACATTATATTATTGTTATTTCAAAAAAGCACGAAACGATGAATGATTTAGTAAATGCGTGTACAGCTCATGCTTGTGGATGTGAAATGGAATTAAATTATTCAGGAATTCATTCTTCCATTATATTTTCATGATGTATAAAGTTGTCAAGGAAATTATAAAAGCGAATTAACAAATAATTAATTCAACATTAAGATGGGTATCACTAATTATATCATAAGTTGAAACTATACACATAATATGGCATGATATACGGTGAACTTGTACACATTGCGTCTAATTACATTTTATTAATGACTTTTTTTGAAACGCTTAATAACATTTAATTATAAACGATTCAGTTCTCATGCTATGAAAATGTACAGACCAAGTCAATTCGTTTCTTGTTTCGTTGGTACAAGTTTAAGACTGCCTGCTTTTAAAAGTTGAAAATATTGTGAAACAGCTCAAAGATTGTTAGTGTTTGAGAAACAGAAGTGGATGAAAAATGTTATTTTAAATTGAGAAATTAAACTTAAGCGCATTTTAAAATAATTTTAATTTTAAACCGACTTTTGAATTTTAAATTTTTGAAAATTTTCTGAAATTAACGAATTTCTCACTTCAAAAAGTCTTTTTTGATTAATTTTCAATACAAGAGCTTATTATTTATATTAGACGACTCAAAACTATCAAAAAAGTGGCAAAATTCAATCAATGTTAACCAAATCATAAATTTCAAACTATAAACAGAAAAAATCATCAATTTACTTCCTCAAAAGTCGACAAAAAAGAATCTACGAGATTATCTAATTCCCTTTTTCTACCAATTTCTCAAACAAATTACCCAGAACAATCCTAACAATTCACTTAATCTAACCAATCCAAAAAAATACACAAAGTGATCACATTATCGCATCTAGGACATGAAAAAATAGCTCTCAAAATTACTTGGTAAATGCTATCTCGCATATTATGCCAAAATCGAAATGAAATTATCTTAATCATAAGCTCACAATCTAAGTCCATTTACAGCAAATTAGCAGGTTTCGATCGTTACTTTGTTTGTTAATTTTTTTTACTACTTTAAACGCCTTCTTTTTCCCTTTTCGAAAAATGATTCGTTTTTTTATTCATTTTTCGCAACTTAAACAATAATGCATTATTATGTTGAATGTTTGTACATAGCTGAGGCCCATGCATAGAGAGCTGTAGAGTGTGTGCATTATATAGTTACCGAGTGAGAGATGGTAAGGAGGAATGAAAAGGCAAACGAGCCATAATTGGTTTTATATTGAATCGCGAAGAGCATAATTTAATGTATTCAAGCACAAATTACAGTCAATCAAATTACATTTCAGTCACGTTTTTGAGCTTGATACTTGGAGCATTAAAAGCCACAAAGGCAAATATGTATTAAAGCATAAGATGGAAAAGAACTGCATCTAGTACACCATAATCACTACTTTCCTTGCCTTAACATTTTCTTGTTTTATTTTAATTTTTTTGGGTTTATTTGAAAAAATATTTTATTAGCAGAAAATGAATTGGATTCGGAGATATATCGAGGCTTTTTCACTTTTATATTTCATTAAATTTGTTAAACAAACTTTGAGAAATGAGCGGAAAAACTTTGAAAATTACCTTCAAAAGGGACTCAAGTTGAGAACATAATAATGATGTTCAACATGATTAATGTGACTAGTTTGAGTAGTCTCAATTTTAAGGGATCATTTTTCTTTAGAATTTGTTGGATGTTGATTGATTGATTCTGTATAGAATCATTAGGGCTTTTAAGTTTGAGAATAGAAAACAATATGTTTGATTTTTTTGCGACGGATTTGATTGTGTGTCAAGCAAAATGATTAAGAGATGTGGAAAATTGATTGAGGAGTTTGACATTTTAAGAATATGCTCGATTTTATATCATAAGCTTTACAATTTTAGAGATTTAATAATTTTTGATAATTCTTATTAAAAAATCAACAAATTTTAGCACCAGACACTATTAATTTATTTTCACAAAGTGATAAAGCCTTGCAAGCTCTTCAATCTTCTTCACATATCCCTTCAACAATGAGAAACACAAATTAAGCAAACAAGAGATTTTTTTATATATTTTCTCAGTTCTCGTTCATCTCTTTCTCCCTTTCGGTATGTTTTGCAAGTTCACGCCAGCAATTTTATGTGGATCCACGTAAGAAATAAACGAGAGTAACAACAACATCAACAAGATAACACATTGGAGATGAAAATTGAAAGAAATATTAATTATATTGCTAAAATATTTTGCCCGTTAGCAGTCAAAATAAATTCTTTCGCATATGTCTGCACGTATGCATGTGAATGTGATTTTTTTTGGGAATACGAAACAGAGAGTAAGAAAAAAAATGTTTAATACTCACTTCCAGGAAATCGATGGGGAAATATTCGTCCGTGTCGACTAAGAAGCCATGGATATAATGGATAACTATCGCGGGGAATATTCGGATTGTGAAATTGTGGCGGCAAATGTTGAGGAAGTGCGCCTAGTTGAAATCCCTGTGCCGCTGCTAGGTTGGCAGCAATTGGAAAGTGACCAGCCGAAAAAACGGGTTCTGAGCAGCCATCATTTCTGGTGGAATAGTCGGTGGCAATTGTCCATGAGACATGTTATTTCTTAAAATACTGGCTGGAATTCCTGGTACAATAATTGGTTGCTTTTGCATGTGCGAGTGTTGATGTGATTGTGAAGTTGGCGGTGGTGTTGATTGCGATTGTGGTGATTGTGATCGACGGTCATCTGACAAGCGCGTTTGTGATTCCATTTGTTTTTGGATTTCATGACGTTGAATATCATTTTCCATACTTTTTTCATGACTGTTATGATGATGATTATGATGATGATGATGTGATACCGGCGGTGATGTGCTCAATGATCTCTTAATTTTATTTCTTAATTCTAATTGTGCATATTCATTTAATTTTATTGCCGCTGCAATATCGCTATTGTGTTTCGGTGAATTATTACTATGTTGATATCCATAATCACTTAATGGACTTAATGGCGCCTCTGAACCTTCACTATCATTTTGTGAAAAATTTAATGGCGATTTATTGTGCTGATGTCGATTACCGACAATCGAATCAATTGAGAATCCAATTTTAGGTTTTGTTGGCATTGCTGTCATCATACTTGCAGCCAGTGTATGTGCCGAAGGAGGCATAGTCATCATAATTTTTAAATATAATTTTTTTTAAGCTACAACTTAATTTATTCTTTTGTCCTTAGAATGTTTAAAACTCACACACTTTTCTAATATTTTTTTTAATTTTTCTTCTTATTTAATCCATTAATTCTTCATTAGTTAATTAAGTTAACAAAAACTTCCTTCATTAAAATAATTCTTCCTTCTTCTTCTTCTTATTTCTTTTTTTTTCCAAACACTTTAAAACTTTTTATATATATTTTTTTTCTCAATGATCGCAAGACGCGCGAGAATATAGGTTTGAACAGCACGATGGATGAACAACTTTTGAATTCAAAATAATTTTTTTACAAGCTCTTCCTTTACATTCACACAAGTCTCCTACCTTCATTCTCTCTCTCGTAACGCAATTCTCTCGCTCTCGGCTTCTCGGTCGGTATAATTTGACCTATTAGAGGAGATAAGCTGTGCATGTGTTGGTAAGCATAAAATATATAACAAACAGAAATTGTAAGTAAAAAGATATCAGAGGTGTGGCTAAATGTGTTTAAACAAATTCTTTTATGTATATAAATACACAATAAAAGAAAAGACGGGAGAGAATTGCTTCTGACTGTACATTCAACTATTTAATATTGTGCAAAGGGTAATATTATAATAGCTAACACTCAGTAAACTCCACCCAGTATTCATCAACAAATTTTATTATTTGCAATTACTGAAAAGCATCATAAGAAAGTTTTAATGCGATCATTATAGCAATTTAGTTTCTTCATGTATTTATTTCTTCAACTTCTCGAGAAAATTTCTTCTTATTCTTGTTCTTTTTATGCTTCACCAGAGCGGATGGATAGAATACTTAATGATTCTTATGATTTTAGATTTTTATGGGCTTTAGTGAGAGGAATTTGATAAGATTTATGCTGATAAATTAATGAGATGATACGTTAGGATTTGAAGTTCTAAATTTTTCTGATTCTTTGTCAATGATGAAAGAATTTTTGGTTTTTTTTTTAAATTTCAGGATTTTGAAGGATTCATTTTAAAATGGACATTTGAATAAATATCAAAAAATTATCCTTTTTTTTATCTCGGCATCCAAATTTAATTCATTTAATTTTTTTTAATTCATTTAATTTTGAAAATTTGAAAATATATTTGTTATAAATTCTAATGAATCAAAATTTCTTTTTTCTAAAAAATACGACGGCATTATGTTTTTAAAAATTATAAATTCTCAAACGCATTTGAACTCTAATGTCCTTAGCAAATCCATCATTAATTCCTTGAATCAATCCACCCTGAACTTTAATTTCTTCTTTCTCCCGCTTTTATCATTCTGGTTAGAAATTCTTTTGTTTTTGTTACCTAAACGAGATGAAATAATTTTCTGTTATAAGCGATATGAAATGAGAAAAGAAAACAAAAAAAAAAAGTTTTAATATTGTTCTAGTTACTGAGTCACGATTCCACTTAATAATATAAAATAAATTAAAAGTAATTTACATTCTTATGATTTTTTATGTAATTTTGTTGCTCTTTTTTCGGTTGCTGATGATGGTTTTTACAGCTTATTGGAGAAAAAGAAATAGAGAGAATGGAATTGAATGAGTTATGGTATAATTTTATTGATGCTATAAATTTTTTTCTGCTTTGTTTCTGTAATTTTTTGGGATTTTTAATCATGGGAGCTGTTTGGTTATAAAATAGCGAAATTTTTAAGATGATAACTGTGAGACTCAAGGTGCCATAAATGTTATATTATGGAATTTGATTATTGATCTTCATTAATTTATCAATAGGCCTCCAAACACAAAGCAAATGCTTCTGCATGTGCCAACGCAATGTGTATTTTTTAACACAAAAGTTACATAAATCGTGTGCTATCAGAACCAGGCATCCATTTCTTAAGAAAACAATATTTCATATCCCAAAATAACATTTCAAGAATCATTATTTTATGCTATCTATCAATAGAGCAAACATTCCATAGAAAAAAATGGAGAAAAAGTAACAAGATAAATTTCTAACCACAAAACAACATTTTTTTTTCAGCTGAAATAGCAACAGAATGACAATAAAATAAATTTCAAACACACGAATCATAATTGTTGTGAATCACATAATAAATACAATACAATAACAGCTACAGATGTTTCATTTTTATTATTTTCATTGACTTTGCAGAAAAAGAAATAATAACAGACAAATTTTCGAAGTAAATTGAAATTAAATTAATGCGATTTTGCCATTCGATGGAATTTTTCGTTTGAAAGGACAAGAAGTGATGACCAATTTAGGTAGCCAGTGTAGATGGATTGGAGTTTTTTGACTAAATTTACCCAATGTGATCAGATCAAAAATAACAATATATTTCAACCCAAACTAGTTCCCAATTAAACTCAGCAAATTTTAAGAACTAATCTTAAAACTTTCAATCAAATCAACCTGGATTAAGAATGCACACATCGTGACCCATACCAACTGTTAAAAACAAGCATCAAGCCTAGATTTTACAAAATAGATTAACAATAATGTCATTTTTATGAAGAAGTAATAAAAAAGCATTTATATCTCGGGTATAAGAATCTATAGAATTCGTAAAATTAACTTTTTTTATAAATGATTAAACATTTTATGTTCAGGTAATGCAGCATAAAATTCTCACTTTCATGGATACATAAAAACATCTCTATGTCATCCTCAAGTGGCATTGGACATTGATACCTATTATTATTGTCAAGAAGGCAAAAACATTGTCCTTAGAGAGAAAGAGAATAAATGCGAATTTCTATTGTTTAATTAATAAGAATTTTATGAGAAAAAAATGTTCTTTTCTTTTGCCATTGTTGACTGATTCGAATAATAGAAGAGAAAACTTAACTAAATAATTGGTCTTTTGTCAAACATAATAGAAGGATGAATTGTTCACTATGGACTTGAGAATGACTATAGATCTGTAACAACAATAAAACCAAAAAAAAAATATAAAGTAACAAAGGTTCAATTGGTCATATTTTAACACATTTGATTCTCATATATTATCATTTTATTATCCTCACAATGAGAATGACGTGCAGAAAAATAATGTGTGAAAAGTTAAGTAGGATCAATTATTCTAAGCGCTTTTGCGAAGGTTATGTAAATAAATCATTAAATATGTTTGAATTTCAACGAATTTTTGGAAAAATTTGAATTTCTTAATTTTCTCCACTTCAAAAAGTTTTTTGTGATTTTATTTCAAACTAGCAATAATTAAAGACTTAATTGTGTTTTTTTAACATTTACTAGATGGCAAAAGTTTGACTTAATCAACAGAATTTCTTAAAATTGCTTTGTTTTTGTTATTTTTAAGAATAGTGTGTTTTCAATTTTTATTTTAAATCTGCATTTTAATTCACTTAAAAAATGAATTTAACTAATTGGGCATTTTTTAAATCCTTTAAACATCAATTTCAAAGCAGCACGGTCCAAATTGGTTAATTTCTGAGTATATTTTAAATTTATTAAGCTTAAGACTTTCCACGTGTTTCAAAAACAATTTTTAAATTGACCGTTATAATCATAAAAATTGCAAACAAAGTACAGAAATTTATGACATTAATGCTACATTGAACCTTTCTTGTTAAAAAAGAAATAAATCCCATCTATCCATATACCCAAAATGAACACAATAGCCCGAAAATCCCTTACAAAAACTGCACTCAAAATTGCCAAAGAAAAGAGAGAAATAAATTGAAAGAGCAAACACAGCAAGTTTGTTTTAGTAGCGACACATTCCAAGAACTCCATAAGACGTCATCCATAAAGCGAATACAATAATTCATCAAGTTATTTTATATTTTCATATACGTATATACACACAAATTTACTTGTACCTCACGATTGCATCTAATAAAGCCTTCAAGCATTTTATTAATTCTTCGCACATCATCGTTAAGTAAATGAAGCACATGAAAATTATCTGAAAATTGAACATAATTCCACACACTACCCACACAGATATTTTCATTTTTATTTCTTGTTTTTCCACTGTTCGCTCGGGATTCACGGCGCAACATACACACATCGACCAATAACAATAATAATGAGTAAGTGAAATAAAATAGCGAGAATATGCTCAATTGAAAATGAGCATGCATAATATAAATATAACAATTATTATTGTTGACGCTTTTGTTATTACTTACATTTAATAAATTAAGTTTAAAACCACAAAACTACTTAGTAGCTTCTCGAATATTCTTCATTTTAATATTTATGATGAGTGTATATTCACCGAGCCATTAAATTTGCTTTAATTAATGTAATTACATTTCGCTTTCATTAAGTTTTCACACTTTTAGCTTTGGGGTTATTGGCGATTTCTGAGTAATTTCTTTGGCGTGATGAAATAATAACTTATGAATTAAGTAAAAAAATTCGTTTAAAATTAAAACCTATTCAAAACTTAGTAGAACCTTGACTTCCTTCAAGTGTCGTTACAACACCACAAACATGTTATTATACCTAAAACCTCAAGTGTACAACAAAATGCATAAATATCAGATGTATAAAGCATTACTTTAAAAATGCAATGTTGCTTTAATAATATCCTTTATTAACCAAAATCCCTTCATTACCACTCCATAAAAAAGCGCTCCAAAACGTTCATGCTACATATACAACACACTGAAACGAATATTCATCTCATCCGTATGATGATGATCATCACATCTCCTTCTTTTTATTTTTATTCCTCCCTGCTACACATTAATGGTGTGAGAAGCAAATAAAATTGTGAAAACAGCGTTTATGCATTTCGACGCTTATATTGAAATATGATAAAATAAATATGTATGAAAATTTATGAATGTGCAAATCATAAATAAATAACATGAGATACATTCAATATTGTGTTGTGTATATAAAAATCTTTTTGCAGATGTACGAGCGAAGTTAAAGAATGTTTAGCATTCCCTTCCGTTTCCACTGTTTCTCTGCTGTTCGATGTGTATGATCTGATACACAACAGATCGATACATTTA